GTTGGTGTCGATGGAGTGACGGACGAAGAAGACTACAGGGGCTATCAGGAAATGCCTCCATTCGGGGTAAACGTACCCCTACCTATCCTTCAAGAGGGTGACAAACCTGCTTACGTACGAATTGATCACAATGAGGCCCTCATTGTTGATGCACCTAAAGATAGTTAGATTATTGTTAACTATGTAATCATTATGCAGACGTTGTATCAGTAATTCGCACTGAATATTTAATTTATATTTTGTGCGTATCTCTATAATTTAATTATTGACTATGTAATCAAATATTAAAATGATGTTCACAAACATTATTATTTGATAATTATAGACCATTAATTCATTATCATAAAATTAAATAATCAAGACACAAATTTTTGTGTTATTTTAGAATATAAACTAACTGCATTATTTCTATTAATAAATAAATAAAAAAAAGCAAACTAAGTGAACTCCCTATTCTAGCTCAGCGGTTAAGGCCGCGCACTCTGTACTCTGAGACCCGTGCTCGAATCCCAGGCGGGCCAAACTTTTTTATATTTTTTACAAAAGGCTGTGATGGCAGGCTCCAAACCGACACTATTTTTTTATATTTTTTTTACCTAAAGTTGGCGGCAGGGCCCTTCACTGCCGGTTTTGGTTTTAAAACAGGCAGTGATATCTTCTATCACAATCGGTTGCTCAAACCGACACAGAAGGCCCAATTCACTGTCGGTTTTTAAACTAAAACCGACAGTGATGTGTAGATGCTCCTCACATGCCAACAGTGTTCCCATGACCACAACCCGCCAACAGTGCTCCCATGACTACAACCGTTGGAACACTGCTCCCACCTACCCCGATAACTTTAGTTCAGAAATAAAAATATATCACGACTGCTAGCCCATATAAAATGGCCCTCAGCCAGGAGCTAGCCTCTCCATGCATGTTGGTTTCAGCCAGGCCTTATCAAACATGATACAATGTTTTCCTCTCACAACAAACCACAGATATCGTTATGCATCGTAGTCCACCAAAATGGTGCACACATGAGGTACTAGAAGAATGCTACCGAAGATAGAGCAACGCCGAAGATTGGAGATGCCACGAGGTTCACAGAGCCATCCGCTGTGGTGCGCTCTGGACTGTATGTCCAGAGAGACCTGGTGTGCTCTGGGCAATTTCCTGCCCCGAAGCGGTATTGGTTCATCGGTGCGATGCCGAGCTGAATCCGATGTGCTCTGGACTGTACCGAGAAAAAGACCATGGCCTGTAGAGGCATAGATTCATCGATGCCACCTTATCATCTCCAACCGGTATAGCTCGTAGACCACCTCAGTGCTGTTGTTTGACCCTAGTTGGTGCTAGAAGAATGCTACTAAGGTGGTTAAATTATAATGTGTTGATACACATTGATGGTAACATTGACCTGTACGCAAATAGGTCTTTGTTATCGTATATGGAATTTTAGTGTAAGGTCTTTGTTATCGTATATGTAACTTATTTCTAATTTTTTTGTAATTTTTTGATGTATTTCATTACTATCTAACACTTACCGGAGCCGCTCGAGGGGTAGAGAGGAACATGAGGCAGAGTACTTGAGGAGACTAAAAGAGATGGAAGACAGAATGGAAGCACGGATTAAGGTGACCGTTGAAGCGCGAGTCGAGCAAATTTTGCTGTCCAAGGGGTCAGCAGTACCACAAAACCCTACTCCTACTGCCTTTAGCCCACAGTTTAGGGGTCGCAGCAGCTGCGGATCGACCCCGCTCGACGAAGAAGAGGCAAATGTGCCTCATCCGGTGGACGACATCACTGAACCCGTCAATGTCAGGTTGTACATCCGTCAGGAATGGACAAAGGACAAGGTAGCGCTCGGCCAGGCCTGGCCTGTGGGAGATGGGACAATTAATGGCCGCCCAATTCCACTGGGGTACGCTCGCGTCACCATTGACAGAATACTTGATAAGAAGTATAACAAGATACCCATTAAGTATCCCGTAGCGGAAGACAGGCCGAAACTTGGTCATAACAAGGGCTCTCAAGTGGCCTGGCGCAAGCGCTTCATTAAGCTTGACCACCAATTGTTCTCTGATGATGAGGACGACTACGAGTCTTTGCCCACCCGTGATGATAACTCACCATCTCCCAACAGACATCACTCCCCTCCTCATCTAGAGCCATCACCCTCGAGAAGACAGAGGTCTCCATCTATTTCTCCTCGTCCGACTCCATCTTCATCAGCCCCGAGAAAAGAGACTCCTCCTCCTCCTCGTCCGACTCCATCTTCATCAGCGCCGGGAAAATAGAATTCTCGTCGTCATCCTCCTCCTCCTCCACCTCAGCCCAAAACAAGATCAAGGACATCCTCGCAGTCACAGAAAAAGGTCCTTGGATTCGGTCGCTATTGCTCCCAAAGTGGACCAACAGAAAAGAAAAAGGCCGTTCAATGGCAGTGTTACCTCCTTGATGGAAGAAAAATTTACAGCACACGTCAAGAAGGAAGATTGTATTAGTTTCTTCAATCTCTATGCCTCACTACCTTCGTTTATGTTGAAGTCCGAATTCGAAAGGCAAACACAGAATAAATACGCTACAAGAGACGAAGAAATACACAATAAAGATTTAAGGAACATACAGAAGTACGTCGAAGACAACCCAGGATTAACCATGGAAGAGGCCGCGACCATCTATTATGATGTACAAGGGATGACAACACCAGCAATGAAGTATGTAAGGGGCAATTTTTTGGTTTCCGATCATGAGTTTAAAAATCTGACAACATATATGCGCCATTTACATGAATATTACATGGCTCAAGCAACAGAGACAGACAACTTTGGTTTTGAGGTTATTATCCGTTCGCCACATGTTTTTAATTATCCTGAAGAAGAGAAGTTCGATGTCGAGTGGGAGTGCTTGTTCTAGCTATACCAGAAACGCGATCTCGATGTTCAACTGTTGACGCTGTGGACTATGTAAGTACCCTACACGCACGATATTACAATTAACTACTCTCTCGAGATACAAATTATTAACTTTTGAGCATTTCCCATGATTTTATGTAGGTGTATAGCAAAATTTTGTATTCTAAAAAGCAAATGGGATTACATAGGCTTCTTGGACCCCATGCGAGTCAATGAGAGGACATGTCTAGGCCTCTATGGATGTGATGTGGAAGACCTGAAATAGAGATTGATTGCTGTTTTCGACGAATTCACGATGAAGAAGAAAACCCATATACTTCTAGCCTACAACTGGGAGTATGTGTTCTCGGTTTTAATTTTATGCTTCTTTTTTCGTTAAGATTATTCGATAATTAGGATTCTGTGATTGCAGCAACCATTTCGTCTTCATTTGTGTTAATCTTGCCAAAAATCTGCTCGAGGTGTGGGACTCGAAGAAAAAACCATTTCATCATCTGGATGCACTGGTGTCAGTGCTGAATTAGTAAGCGATCCTAATAACATACTATTTTCTAATCACACATACCCGCTTTCTAATGTTTCTCCTTTTAATGTTGCTCGGTGTCCGAAGAAGTCATATCGGTGGGAAGCTGGTCTCATTCAAGATTGTCGAAATGGAGGGGAAGTACCTATCACAGCCGGCAGGAAACAATGAATGCGAGTTTTATGTAATGTGGGCAATGCTTCGCTACATCGGCGGGAAATCAAAAGAAGTCGATAAGTTAGTGTGTATAATCCCCATTCTATTTATGTATGTTAATAATTCAACAAAATAATTTACTGTTCTTCTTTGGATATCATCTTTTTTGAACGACAGCGCAAGAAATTTAAGCACGAAAGGCTGCTAGAGATGGAGATCGTCGCACTACAATCGGAGCTGGCAAAATTCATCTTAACCAAGGTATTAGAAAAAGATAGACTATTTTCCATTGCACAATCCGTGAAGTACAAGGACCGGTATGGCCCAGAGCGGCTCACCAGATTATTGTAAAAAGTTCAAGAACATTTTTTTTATTTTGAGGGATCAAGATCTGGATAAGAACATTTGAATTATAACCGTAACATTTGTAATATTTAATATTGATGGACCTGTCGTCTACGTAGCGTATATAAAGCGAAACTCGATCCTACGAAAAAATATAAATTAAAATAAATTATAAAACAATAAAATACGAACGGGCCATCACCGCCGGTTAGCAACAAACCGACAGTGTTGTTGTAACTATCACTGCCGGTTAGAAACAAACCGACAGTGTTAGCTTGCTAAACACTGCCGGCTTGAACCATGAATCGACACTGATGATTAGAACAACACTGCCGGTTTGATCCATGAACCGACAGTGTAGGCTTCCTCAACATTGTTGGCTTGAGCCAAGAATCGACACTGATATTTACTACAACACTGCCGGTTTGATCCACGAACCGACACTGATATTTACAACAACACTGCCGGTTTGATCCACCAACGGACACTGATATTTACAACAACACTGCCGGTTTGATCCATAATCCGACAGTGTAGGCTTACTCAACACTGCTGGCTTGAGTTAAGAACCGACACTCTTTGAAGCAACCGTCACTGTCGGTTGGAACTACAAACCGGCAGTGTTGTTCAACTGGACATTGCCGGGTGGAGCCAGGAACCGACACGGTTTCCTGTAGATCAGTGTTGGTTTTTAAGGACCGACAGTGATGTCAACCCCACATCACTGTCGGTATGCCACTGTCGGTTCAAAATCCGATAGTGAAGTGGGTTTTTCAACCGACAGTGATGTCCAGACCTGGAGTAGTGTCCCCAGATGAAAATTGCGAAAAAGAACATGTCAGTCCATCACTCCATCCTTCGGAATATGTCGTGCGTTCACATTCACAACTTGCATAGTTGCATTGTGTGTTCTGTCAATATACTAGGATATATTAACACCACTCTACCTTCTTTATATGTAGATGCATGGATCGATAGAGAGTATAGACAGACTACTGCCAACAATAATATCAGCAACCAGATATCACGCAAACCACCCAACGAACTAGACAAAAACTCCACATATCATGAGAGACATGGTGAAGTTCTCACGGCTTCTGCTCGGCCTTCCGGCCGTGTGGATGCTCGCCGCCGCCGCTGCAGCGGCGGACGACGTCCCGGCTGCACGGGGTCCTGGCTGCGCAACAAGGTGCGGGGACATCGACGTCCCGTACCCGTTCGGCCTAGACCCGCAGTGCGCGATCCACGCCGGCTTTCAGCTCAATTGCACCACCGTCGGCCGCACAACCAAGCTCTTCCACAATAACCTGGAGGTGATCAAGCTCTCGGTGCAGGATGGCAAGGCCTGGCTCAAGACTTGGATCTCTCGGGAGTGCTACAACCAAACCACCAGCGGGATGTTGTACGGCAACTACGCGTGGATGAACATCACTGGCTCGCCCTATGTGCTTTCGGCAGACGATAACAAAATCATCGTCCTCGGGTGTAACAGTTTCGCCTACATGCGCAGTGACTCCGTAAGTATTGCTGATGACGTTCTGCCACTCTCCGATCCTGTCCACATATATATGAAATTATGAATGAACTCGCAGCAAGCTGATCGACATATAGCACCGCTGTGCAACACTTGCAGTACATCATCGGCTGCTTGGCGACATGCGACGTCAACATACCACCCAAGAACGACTCATGCTCTGGTACTGCTGGTGCTGGGTGCTGCCAGGTGGACCTCCCGAAGGGCGTGCGGGTTTACCAAGGCTTTTTCAACTCGTTATACAACACGACTGCGATATGGAGGAACACCCCTTGCAATTATGTGACTGTCATGGAGAGAGCAGCCTTCAGCTTCAGCACCACTTATCTCACCTCTTCAGTGTTCTACGACAGAGACGACTCGAGGTCTCCTGTCGTGATGGAATGGGGGATTACGCAGAAGACATGTGAAGCTGCCAAAATTGACAAGAATGTGCCCTACGCGTGTGTTAGCAACTATAGCGAGTGTATCACGAATGATGCAGGCTATCTATGCAAGTGCTCCAGGGGATTCAAAGGCAATCCATACATCGCAGGCGGATGCACAGGTTCCACTTCAGCTCCATTATTATTCTTTTATTATCCAGTTGTTGTTCTTTTATTTCAAGTGCTCACGCAGAGATTTTTACAAAGCATTTTGGTGCGGTTTCAGACATTGATGAGTGCCAGGACAAGGTTACTTACCCTTGCGCTGGAATATGCAAAAATACAGTGGGGGGTTATAATTGTTCATGCTCGCCGGGAAAAAGTTTGATCAATGGCGTTTGCGAAAAAAAGCAGAAGTCAGTTTGGATGGCGCCAGTTGTTGGTAGGTTTCGAGGAAGTTTGCATGCACTTTTTTTTTATGTCCCCTGCATTCACCTCTGATGGGATCTGGCATTTTTATTTAGTGCTGACGGTTGACCAAGGGTAAGCCAAAGTGATCATTTTGAATAATTATGCAGGTGGAAGTGTTGGACTTGTCGTTCTTGTGATTGCCATTACTTGTACATATTTGATCCGAGAAAGGCGAAAGCTACACCGGATCAAACAGATGTATTTTCGACAACATGGTGGTCTGCTGCTATTTGAGGAGATGAAATCACAACAGGGTGTAGCATTCAAAATCTTCTCCGAAGAAGAACTACAACAAGCCACAAACAGGTTTGATGAACAGCATGTCATTGGTCATGGAGGCCATGGAAAAGTCTATAAGGGAGTTTTGAAGAGCAATGCTGAAGTAGCCGTGAAGAGATGTATGACAATCGATGAGCAACAAAGGAAAGAATTCGGCAAGGAAATGCTAATCCTATCCCAAATCAATCACAAGAACATTGTCAAGATCCTCGGCTGCTGCCTTGAAGTTGAAGTGCCCATGCTAGTATACGAGTTCATCCCAAATGGTACTCTGTTCGATCTCATCCATGGAAACCATGGCAAACACATCTCCTTGGGCACTCGCTTGAGGATTGCCTATGAGTCTGCAGAGGTCTTAGCTTACCTCCGTTCATGTGCATCTCCACCAATCATCCATGGTGATGTCAAATCGACCAACATCCTCCTGGATGGTGACTACACGTACAGCAAAAGTCTCCGACTTTGGTAACAACCCAAAAATTCATACATCAAAAATACCAACTACAAAATTTTTCTTAAAACTTTCATGTGATGATGAGTGTCATGTATAGAAACCCAACCTAAGAGATGCATTAGGTCTAACAACCCCAACCCAAGTCAACACATAAGCATGGCATGTCATTTGTTAGTTATGTTTATTTAATTTCCAACAAACAAAGTGTTGCATACATTGTTAACTAAAATGGTGGTTTGGATTTTCATCTATTTTATGTAATGCCTAAAAACTCCTTTAAAGAAACACACCATAAAGTAATTATTATCCAAATCAAAGGATAATTATGTAAAAAGAGAAAACTAATTCTATTTTTATATATAACAAACTACACCTATTTTTGTTATACAAAATAGCTAAATAAATTACTAATATTTATATAAGAATGTTGTGGGCCTCATATCTAAAACTCCAATGAATTTGGTGCACCAATTTTGAATTCAAATACCAAAACCAAATTTGAATTCAAACAAAGGAGAAGAAATGAAAAACAGAAAAAGAAAAAAGAAGAAGAAGAAGCTTCTCGGCCCGCCAACGCGCAGCAGCCCAGCAAGCAGCCCCGCCAGCGCGCAGCAGCAGGCCGGCCCAACTCGCGCGGCCAGCCCAGCAAGTAGCCCAGCACGCGTCGCCCACACCCACGCGTCTCCCCGCTTTCCCTTGCTGCCGCTGCCACTTGGCCCCGCACGTCAGCCACACCAACAACAGTGTCGTCTTCCCCCACGCCTCAACCGCCGCGCGACCGGAGACCGACAGCAATGGCAGGGGCGGGCCAGGGGGTCACGCCCGGGGCACGGCCTTGTCCCCTTGGCGCCGCGCCCACGCAACCACGCGCGCGCCGTTGGATGCAGGCACGCGCCTCCGATCGCCCTTGATCCCCATCCGCCGTTCACCGAGCTCCATGGCCGAGCTCGGCTATAAAAGCCTCGGCCCCAGGTGCCCTAGAGCTTGTCCCAACGCCCCACCGCCACCTTGTGGCCATCCACCGCACACCCGAGCCAGAGAGGATAGAGGAAGAAGAGGGAACGAGTGAGGAGCAAGCAAGAGGAGGATCGGAGCCACCCGCGTGCTGCCGGAGTCGTCGGAGCTGAAGACGACGCCGTCGTCTTCATCACTGACGCGGTTCGGCACTGCATTGCACTGCTTCCGGAGCTACACGGCCACGACCCGCCACTGCACCGCCATCCATTCACCGTCGGCACCTACGGTGAGTGCCTGAGTCTTCCCTGCTTGCCGCCGGACTTTGCTACTCCAGCCATGGCGCTCCATACCGTGAGCGCGTAGGCCAAGGACATCTTCGGCCTCTGGGTACACAAGCACAGCACACTCACACGCACACCCGCGACCACCTCCGAGCCCTTGGACGCCGTAGCAGAGCGTGTGCACGCCGTGCTCACGATGCCGCCGTCGTGCCGTGCACCACCACTCATGCACCCCGCCGCCTCGCCGGACTAGGACGTAGTCGCAGCACCGCCGTGACGTCTGGAGAATAGCCACGTAGACCGAGTCGTCGATAGCATGCCACGGTGCCTTGGCCACGAGCACCAGACCACCACCAGACCTCCGCCATGGCCGAAGCAAGCCGCCACCGTGGCCAAAGCCACTGAGGGCTCTAGAAGACCCTTTGACCTGCCCGACATGCCCGCTGGAGCATTGTGACACTCTCGCGCACCACAGACCCGGCCTATGTCGCTGCACCCATGCCACCCCCACACGCCGGTTGTGCTCGAGCCGCCGTTCGCCGTGGCCAGTGACCTAGGAAGCCCTATCCGTCGCCCCGACCCCACCGTTGCAGTCGCCATGGCACGGGAAGGCTTTTCCCCACCACAATTGGACGCCTGAGCCGTTGCGGGAGCTCGTCGGAGAGCACATCACCGGCGGGGGCACGCCGGGGAGGAAACAGAGGATTCTTCCTCGCTGACCACCCGCGCATGAACCCGGTGCTCGTAGACCATGCCCGAGGAAAGAGAGGTAGACTTGGTCCACCATGCACCCTGCCTTAGGTCCATAGACCAGCTTCTCTTGGTCCACCGTGAGCCACGCTCACGCCCACAGCCTGGAAACGAAGCCCAGTAGGAGCCCATGGCAGTGATGTGGCAGCGCCACATCATGCCACGTGGCGGGCCAAGCCCGGCACAAATCCAGCCCTGTCCAGGCCCAGTTTGAACCCGACCCGTATTGATAGTTGACTGGTCAACGTTGACCATTGACCTGGCCCCACATGTCAGCGACACAGAGCCACTGGACCCACATGTCAGATGGTGACGTCATGCTGACGTCACGCAGGACCCACACATCAGAAGCCAACGCAGCCGGGGTGACGTCACGATGACATCAGCTGCTGACGTCAGCAGCCCTGGCCCCACACGTCAGTGACCGTTGACCGTTGACTCACTCGTTGACTTGACGTTGACTTTGGTCGGACCCACATGTCCGTGACCCAAGAGCCTCTGGCCCCACCTATCGGAATGGATGACGTTGCTGACGTCATGCCGACGTCAGCTGGACCTCGCCTGTCAGCTCGGAACCGAGATGATGACGTCATGTGGACCAGTCACAGCGTGACACGTGTCAGCCCAGGATTAATTCAGCCTTTTTCATTTTTAGAAATGGATTTAATCTTCGTAAATTCATAACTAATTCATGTGACCTAAGAAAAATATGAAATCAGGACCAAAATTCATCTAAAATCGAGCTCTACGCAATGAACCCATGTTTGAGTGCATTTGGCTCTTTTGAATTTTCATTGCTTCTTTGTGCTATTCTATAGACGTCACTAACGCGACTATAATGCGATCGTTTGTAGACTCGGAGGAGAACCGGACGGACGAGGATCGTGAGTACCGTGAGGATTACGGAGACGACTACACTGAAGGTGCCACATCCCACCGAATCTCATAGGACCTATTACGCATGGCTAATATAGAAATGCTAGTGCTTACTTTATTGTCATGATCACACTATGGTAGGACTTGCATGGTAGTATGCTTTCTTGATGGCCTTTACCTTGACGCAACCTTACCCCTACTCACCCTGCCGTTAGGCTAGTCACACGCTTGCTATTATATTTCATTGCTTATTACTTCTACTACGCTTGCACTACATTGATGCATGGTGGAAACTGGTGTTATCTGGACCATGGGGAGAGTGCTGCGTGTGTGACTTGGGTGCGTGGAGGGTGAGGGTTGTGTCGACCAAGTTGGAGTATACGACGAGCCTGGGGCAAGTCTTGCCGTGGGGTGCTATCTAGGCACCCCTGGAATGGACACCTGTGGTGGGTAAATGGTATATGAGGTGGCCCTAGGTGTGATCCTATGATGGGAGGAGCCCAGGGTGGAGGTGCTGTGGTGGCATGATAAATGGAAATCCTGATGAAGACATTCTGGCTTGGTCATCCCTAAGGACTTACTAGTACTCAGATTCACCGGGAAGCCTTACGTACCACTTGCCCTATATGGTGAGGGACGACCGGACTACTTGGTAGGATATTGCCACTACTGCTAGGTTGATAGCGGACAGTGTGAGGGAGGTACGGGGCATGGAGGATTTCCCCCACACCCTTCCGAGACTTCATGGAGACCTTGTGGACCCGGCTCATGACTCACAGTTTCAGCCACCCCAGACTAGACTTGGGGTGTACCAGGGCTGAATGGTAGAGTGGCATTATCCTAGGCTAGCAAGCGGCCGGAATCAGCCCAGTTGACGACAGTCAGCGAGGAAGGCGGATCTTGTGGTTATGTAAAACCTCTGCAGAGTGTATGGTTGATCGATTGATACATATGCCAACTTGTCGGCTATGGACCTTTCCTAGGTTTCGCTTAAACTAGATAGAGAGATGAGTCATTCTCTTCTCCCCCTGGGAGTGAGTGTTCGGACGTAGCCAGGGGCTACGAGCCTTGAGATAGTGCCGAGAGGGAGTTGGCCTGTCGACTGAGCGATGGTATGGGTGTGGTATGGTGATGGTGTAGAGATGGTGGTATATCGATCCCGGGATCGAAACCTAGCTCTGGAATGGGAATGGGGAGGAATGGGTGTGGGAATGGTGTTAAAACTTGACCAACTATTATTATGTACTTGATATACTAATACATAGGAAACCCTAGCCTTATAGGTTTCTTTTGATTATATCCAACTTGCATCCAATTTCCACAAAGCAATGCTCATAGGGTGGGAGTGGCCAGTACAAATCGTACTGATAAATT